GGTTGCGACCAATTCGGGTCGCGACCAGAGTCACGGAACGAATTAAGTTCGTAAACCGAGATTCCACTGTATATTGTCTGATGTCAGTATTCACGAGTCCACTTTAAGGAAAACACTGAGGAAGCATAGTGTGTATAGGAGAATGTCAAAGAGGAAATAACTGTTCTCCAGAAAGCACATTGCCATCAATCTCAAGTTTGCCAAAGATCATCTGGATGATACAGCAGGCTTTTGGAAGAATGTTCTGTGGACAGCTGAGATGAAACTTCTGGGCATTCATGAGAAATACTGCATTCAGAGAAAACAAAGCACTGCATTCCAGTAAAAGAACCTCATTTGAACCATAAGGAATGATGGCAGAAATATCATGCCTTGGGTCTGCTCTGCATCCTCAGGACCTGGATGGCTTCAATTACTGAGGAACCAATGGATTCTGGATGTAGCAAATTCTACAGGACAATATCTAGCTATCCACCTATGAGCTGAAACTTAAATGAATATGGATCATACAGTACAAGAACCATAAATACACAAATAAATCTACTACAGAGTGGCTGCAGTGGAAGAGCTCAACTGAAACAGTGTGGTATGATCTGAAGTGAACTGTTCATGTAAAATACACCATTGCCAAATACCTCTAGGCCAATATGTGGGATCAGTTAATTGGTACAGGAAATGTTAGGTTGAAGTTACTGCTGAAAAAGGAGATGCCACTAGTTACTAAATCTTAAGCGTCACATACTTTTCCCAACAGACAGTAAATTTGGCTCAGGGAGTTCCATGAAGAGATGACACAATACAAACTTTTGTATGTTGTTTAACCAGAATCCTTTTATCTATTAATAGGACTTAGGTGAAGCTCAGATCACATTCTAGGTCATAATCTGCAGAATTATGTATGGTTCTAAAGTATTTGTAATAACAAGGAACTTAAATGTGAAAAGCAAGCAAAACAATAAAAGGAGAATTAAATGTTATAATTCTAGGAGCATTTCTGAAACATTTTGATTTTTTCCCCAGATAGGTGAGATTGTAACAACTTTCCTCCTCTCTCTCAACCCAAAGAAAATTGAGGCTATAGCATCTTGTTTCCATCACCGCAGGGAATTATTTATTTAACCAATGGACTAATATATTGGGGCTCAAAACCAAAATCCTACTATCGTCAAGTAAATCCTTCAAACTTAATCCAATAACTAACTGCTGGACTCTCAAAATAATCCATTGTCAAAAAAAAAAAAAACACTTCTCACCTCCCTAAGTGGTATTATGAGATGACATGCCTCTTCTGCCTTGCTAGCAAAACAGATATAGTTATTGGAAACAAACATCTGGCCGAGGATGTGGATTTTATTGAATGGGGTCCACAAAGTACAGTCTGTGTGCCCATCAAGACGTTCATCCTTAGGCAGTCGAAAAGTAGCACGGTACCATTCGTTTTTGGCTCTGGCATCCAGATCCCTGAAGAAAAATACAATACACACACACACATCTCCACTGGGCAATTAATGGTTTGATTTCAATTAATGGGAAATTTAAATGACTCAACCATTACAGCAGCCTTTCTCTAACATGGTTCCCTTTGGATGTGTTGGACTTTACCTTCTATCATGCCAATCCTTTTTCAATATAGTTTCAAATAAGGACCTCCACCAAACATAGAAATTGTCATACCAGAGTACTGATTGCCAAAAATCTCTGGTGCAGAAATAAACTTTTCAATATAAGTATGGAACTATTATAAAAATATCCTTTCAAGAGCTGCTCTGGTTCCAAAGAAAGAACAGCGGCGCTGTGAAGATGACATGCCAATGGAAAGAGCTGGCAAATATTATAGGACCTTTGGTCAGAAAAAGAAAAAAGAAACTGCTCAGGGTAATGTAATATATAGTTATAGTTACATTATATAATATAGTTATAGTTATATTATATAATATATAATGTAATATATAGACATAGGTGTAATTCAGAAATAATAGAAGTCATTGTGTTGTGGGAGAATATGCATCTGAAAGGAAGACCTGTTTTTTTTCTCCATATAATTTGTCTTTATAAATGCAAGGGTCATCTTACAGTTCCTAGGAATGTGGTAATGGAGGCTAGCATAGGCTTTTCCATCAATTCTTCCTCTGAAGTTGAATTGTCTTGAGTATCTCCTTTCTTTGGGGTAAATACGGTAGCTGTAGCACGATTAGAGATAGCTACTTCTTCCAAGGACTGAACTCAGACAAAACTAGTTTTGCAAGTTGGCAGCAAGGAGCAGGACATAACACTGCCTGAACATATAAAAAATTAACTTTTCCCTGTCCATAGAGATGCTTTGCAAAAATGAAAAAACAGGGTTTTAAAAATTTGTTTCAGTCAATTAATTCACTTTTTATAGGTCTGGAAACATCCAGATTCAAAGCCTTGCTGGGCTAAGCGCTACCTCTTTGTCTAATACACTTTACAGCAGTGTTGTGCTGAGAAAAGGGAGAAAAATCATATACACTGCATATATATCACTGACATAATATATAATTCACTGGATTTATATTTTTATATTAACAGGAGGTAAGTATAATTATATCTGTAATAACATCAGATGTGTTTATCAGTTGCTGAACAGTTATCCATGCTTAAAAAAAATATCCAAAAGGCTGTGGCATGCAGTACCCAAGCTGTTAACCCAGGATGGAAGAACTAACTGTTCTCTCCTATCTCTCATTCTACAACCACTCAAACAAAAAAACATACAGAAAAGCATCCAAAAAACCAGTAATTGTCTTGGCACCTGCATATTAAAGTCGGTCTGTACTTAAAGTTGTGAAGTCCTGGCTTTTCTCTCAGGCATTAGTGCCAGGTTATTAGTGGAGCCTGAAATGTGTTTTGGTGTTGTGCGCTATTTGTGTGGAGCCTTGATTACTGTATTATGGTTATTTATTTGATTTGTTTTAGATTGGTTTTATAACATTGATCTGTTGCATTATCTGTTAGCTGCCCAAGTTACTTGTTTAAGATGGGCAGCTATGTAAATTATCTAAATTGAATGATTAATTATTAAATAAAGAGGACTGGAAAAGAAAATAGTGACTTAATCATGCAGGCTGTATATGAGGATTTCCACTCATGAGTCCATAATTAGAAATCTAACAACATTCAATTGGAACAACAGAGAGAACAATGCTATGTTCTGGAAATCAATTTCATAACCACAACAAAATCCAATTCAAAGATTTTTGGATTACAGAAGCAGTAAATTTTGGGGATATAATTAGGCTGCGTGGGAAGAAGAATGCAAATTCGAACATCACCTACATGTTTCCTATTTCTACTCTTTCTGGTGGCTCTAGGAAAAACGTGGGAAACAGAAATTGAACATGTGTTTATGAGAAGCACTGGGAAGAAAATGCAGCAAGTTCATTGCCTGGTTGGGATTTCAGCCAGACCCATGCTCCCACAATTCAAGAGATCAAGGATGGTGCTAAAATAAGTGGGCAGATCAGAAAGAATCCACTTGGATTATCATCTGGTTGCATATTTTCAATTTTTTCATTTGTAACCATGAAAATTGAAAAAATGCATTTTGTTGCAAATCATACTAAAAAGGGCAGAACAGAAGATAATATGCAAAAGGAAGAACAGGCAGAAAACAAATGATAAACACATACATAAATACTATGTAATGCCCAGCTTCCCCATCTTATCAACCTAGCATCACCTCCAGTTGAAATCAATCCTGGATATGTTTTCCTTCTCAATAAATGTGCCCACACTTATATGTGGGTATGAATACATGCACGTATGTACATGTACACCCTAACCAGAAAGCATACTCGATAAGAAAGGGAAGGCCAGGAAAAATAATATTAATTAATTAATAATTGCTAAGTTGAATTATAAAACCTTTCAATTCCCCATCTGTACAGAAAGATGCATATCACTGAATACGTGTGAACACACTAGTACTTACACATTTGCCTTTCTTCTCCCACTATAGGAAAAGGCATGTTATTTAGTTTCAAAAAGAGTTACAATTCACCAGGTTGGTGAAAGGCATTTTCTCTGTACAGAGGAAACATTAGTTTCTTTCTTTTGGGTAAACATGGTTTGTTTTTGTTGTTAGTTACTGTCAAGTCAATTTCAACTCATGGCAACTCTGTGGATAATTGTTTTGAACTGTATTTGGTCTTCAGTCAGGGAGCTAATTGTTGCTAAAGTGGCATCCACAGTTGTTATTGTATCAATCCATCTTGATACACTTTCTCTTTTGCATTTTCCTCCAATCTTTGCTACATTTAAGACTGGATTGTTCTTTTTCAACTTTAGCTTGATTTTGCATATTAGTAGTTGTGATCTGTACCAAAGTCTCCTCCAGGTTGTTATTTTTGTTGAAGTTTCTGAGCTTTGCCATTGTTAACTTCCACTGATATAGTCAATCTAAATTTTGTACAGTCCAGTGGACAAAGTCTATGGTAAAGGCACTCTGTGTTGCTGGAAGAAAATGTTTGAAATGAACAGGTTCTTATGAAAGGCCTTTCTCACTGCAGGAAGGAAAGATTAGTTTGTTCCTTTTGGGTAAATATGGAGTAATTTTCCAGTAATGGTATGGAAGAGCCAGTTTGGTGAAATGGTTAAGGTACCAGACTAGAAACCAAGAGACCCTGAGTTCTAGTCCTGCCTTGGGCACAAAGCCAGCTGGGTGATCTTGGGCCAGTCACACTCTCTCAGAGCCCCAGGAAGGAGGCCATGACAAACCACTTCTGAAATCTTGCCAAGAAAACTAGAGGCCTGTCCAGGCAGTCGCCAGGAGTCAACACTGACTTGAAGGTGCGCGCACGCACAGGCACACACATAAAATGGTATAATGTGGGGCCATGAACATACTTCATCCATATCCTTGTGTGTGAGTGATCAAATCTTCATAGTGCTATTGTTGTAATTTAATATCCCTTCTATATCATCACCATTTTCACTCCCCAACCCTAAGAAAAGCTTGAAGCAAAACTGTGTCTGACCTCAAAATGCAGAAAATGCCACAGGAGGCAATCAAGGCATCTTCTAACTGACAAAAAGCAAGGTACAAAAATGGCATCCAACCCCCCACCCCGGTATTCTATTTGGCTTCTTAAACATCTGACTGTTCACAATTAGGAGGAAGAGGGCTGCAAAGTCACCAAGGCACCACACTATCGGAATGGCATTTCTCTGCCTAATTGAGAAACAGCCTACAAATGATAGTGTGAAACTAAGACAACTTTATCTTTGTGGGAAGGGAAGTCAGGGAGAGGAAAGAGTTCTCCCAGTGATCCATTCTGGGATGACAAAGATGCAGAGCTTCTGCTGGAAAACGTACGTTTGAGGCTGTTTATACTTGAACTGAAGTTGGGCCAGAAATAAACTGGCTCAGTTGCCAAATAAAGACAAAGTTGTGGGTGTGCTGAAGCCAATCAGGGAGTGACTTACACCGTGTGCGGAAGTGTTCTAAAATCTTGGAAGACAAAGGAACGCAGGCACTTCTGCAGGCTTACCTCTTGAGTGCTGAGATATTCTTGAGTGGCTTGCTGGGTTTGGGAAGCAACATGTCCTCCGTGAAACTTTTATTATCAAACAGTTGACGCATGGCAATGTTAGCCAACTGTTCCATTAACTTGAAGGTCTCGTTGATGTTCAGGAACATTGAAAAGTAGAGTTCACTGTCTCTGGTACTCACTTTGATGCATTCAGGAAACAGAAGGGTTGCATTCTTCTCTAGCTGCGTTACATCTACCCACTGGACTATCAAGGTCACTAGGGAAACAAGCAAATCCAAATCATCACCGAGAGTAGATGGGAAATCTTTTAAAATAATTTATAGATGTTGAAGCAATATTGGTGTGAAACAGCCCACTGCTCATTGCTGAACTATAACAAAGCAATAAGATTAAAAGATGCATATTTCAAATCCACTCCACTCTCTGGGAGAGGTATGGGAATTGTGGAATTTGCTATTAGCAGAGTATGAATGTTAGTTACAAATCCATATTTAACCCGAATTGAAAAGCAGGTTGAAAAAGGCAATACTATCAGACTTAATAAAAGTTTGAAGTATTAAACAATAAGAGTCACCTCGTTGACATATTACCTTCTTTGCCCAAAAGGAAGGAATAGAAACAAAGGTGATTAACAGTGAGATATAGCCAGCCCTGCCTTGGGACACGTCCTTTCCAATAACTGCAGGAGTAATAATTAACAAGTTTCTCTACTTCAGGCATTCCAAACTGTTTGCGCATCTTCAGTTCTGCTTCCTTAAATTTGCCAGGGTCTTCTTCCCCCTGCGGCTGCTGATTCTTATTTTCTTCAGCAATAATTCCCTGAAAGAAAAAGGGACAAATAAAAAATACTGCTTTTTCATTTGTTGCATTAGTTAACCGTTAAGCACAGTTTTCCAATAATCCTCTGGAAAGTGCACTTCTTTGTGTGCACACACAATTTCCTAATGTTCAAAGCTCCATAATCAATACTCCAGCAACTATATTAGCATACTGACTATTATTAGTGGCATTATTAATGAGGTTTCACACTGTTTGCCCACATCCACAAAACTGCCCAAAGCACATATGAATTACATTTATTTATGTTATGTTTCTCACAGATTGTACAGAAATGTCTGAAATGCTTCCCTAACTATAAAGAAAGCTGTGCAGGAAGTAAGGGAGCACAACAGACGTGGAATAGAGCAAGAATATACACCAAAGGAAAAAAAGAATAAATTTGAGAAGGAAGAATCAACAAAACTCTCAAAAGTTTTTTTTTTCCTCCTAATGGAACCTTGGTCCAAACATACTATAGCAGTTTAATTATACAGTGGAATATTAAAGGAGTTCATCTAGGAATTTCAGGCAAAGTGATAGTGAACAATTTATATGGCTGGTCCTTGAGAAATGCCTGTTTAATGTACGCTATGAATATTTGACCCACTGAGTTTTATATGGAGATTCAAAATCTACAGCTCTCAACAGTTTCTCTTTTAGTTGTTAAAGAATGGGGCAAGAAGAACAGGTGTCTCTTACATGTATTTTACCCTTGACAAAGGTAGTGATATCTTCTTCATTGTCAAAGATTGCAAGAGTCTGGAGCAAATTATTTTCTAGCCACTCCCAATGTTCTGTAATTTCCTGACGGGATGAGCCTAAAAAGAGAGAAAGAACAACCACAATCAGAGAAAATATACATAAAGATTTCATACCATAACCTTGACACATACATAAAAGGATGGACATTTTTATATTAATCATTGTTGAGGGTTTTTTTTTTAACTTTCTACTCATATCAGGATTTTTTGTCTCTCATTTGTTTAAAGAGTCCTAAATGAAAGCTCTGAGTATGCATGCCATACACCTCTGATGTGTGGGCAGCTGAAACTGGGCAAAACAGGAAATATATACCACTAGAATTTCTTGTTTAAAAACTCTCTGCTTGTCTGGCTATATCCCAGTACTTACCACATGCCACTGCCCAATAGATCTGAGAATCCTGCGTTTGATGTAAGATCCTATAAGGAGCAACTCTAGCACTGGAGTCCAAAACTACATCCAAGGTTCCTACAAGCAGTCCTAAGACAGCAAAAATGCAGAGAAGAATATTACGAATGCAATCTAATTGAAAGAAAAATGTTGGAATGACTTAAAGAAATGTGTATATTGAACATTAAATTTTAAAGGATAGTAATTATAGACTTGAAAAAAGGATGTGTACCCAACTCTAAATGGATGATCCAGAAAAAAACTGGCGTTAGACAGCTACTGTATGCAATTTACAGGTTTCATTTTTAAAGGAAACATTAATTTGCTTTCATCAGGTATGACCAAGAGAGATGGTGGAATCCACTTCCTTTGATATGTTTAAACAGAGTCTAGACCAGTGTTTTTCAAACTTGGCAACTTTAAGCTGTGTGGGCTTCAGCTCCCAGAATTGGGAATACAAGCTGTGGAATTCTGGGAACCGAAGTCCATACATCTTAAAGTTGCCATGTTTGAAAAACACTAGCCTAGACAATAATCTGCCAGGATTTTTTTTTAACCTTGGGATCCTGCACTGAGCAATAATAATAGCTTAATAGCTTCAATGGCCTTTCTAATATTCTGATTCTATGATATAAGAAAAAATAGTGAGGGTATACTGAGTTTTAAGGAAGAATTATTGAAAAACTCTGAGAAAAAGAGTTTGCACTGCTGTGAAGACAATTTTCTAGCAAGTAACATTTGTGCACTTTGCTAAAGCCTGATGAAGAAATTGCCCAAAGCAGGGATGGGGATCCTCTGGATCATGGGTCAAACACAGCTTGCAAGGGCTCCTCTGTAACCAAACCCTGCCTACTACAGCAATTTGGCTTTTAGAAAATATTCAACCAAAACCTTTCTAAAGCTTATAAACCAAATGGGGAACCATTTTCAAATGTTGTGGTATAGCTTCCTCTCCATACCATATATAGGTGTTGGCTGGACTTGCAGTTGACAATTCATTCAGTTCAACGTTGGTAATTCAGTTCAATGGTTGCCATAAGATAATGATTTCCATTATAATGAGTCAGCAAGCTAATCTACAGCGCTAGGATATATACAACTCACTCCTCCAATAAATGAGAATAGCCAAGGAGGTTAGGAGACAATTATTGCAGAGATTATTATCTCACTATGCCTAATGATATGTTAAATATATGTTAATAAAGTTCCATCTCCAATTAGAACTATGAATTCAAACAAACACCTTTTTGTATTTGCCCATATGCAATCTCTTAGTCTGCTGTTGATGACCAGTTAAATGTATGCTTAGTCCAAACAAAAGCTGGGTTTACTCATTACACTAAACCAAAGCTTAGCATAAAGTATGAACCCACTCTTAGAGAGGATTCTCAATGGTCAATCTGCCAATACATAATGGAATTCTCTCCCTTTTCAAATATATTACATCCATAGCTGAGCATCTTCTGGAAGTTCCCTATTTAGGTGATTATTAGTTGCAGGGAAGGGCAAGTAGAGAAGAAAAATATTACATCATAAACCTGGAGCTGTTACAGAACAGATATTTGTAGTTTATACTTTACAAATATTTTCACCAGTTTCTTGTCCCAAAGAATTCTAAAATATGTATATTATATAAGGATGCTTAGCCTATCTTCAAAAGTTTACATTTAATATACAGGTATTCTAAGACAAACATCTGTGTTGCCACAAAATTCTATTATTTTTTGTGGTAAATTATTAAGCATACTACAGGTTGTCTGGAAACTGTCCCCTTGTTGGTATATCCTACAATGGTACGTCTTTCAGGCCATCCAGAAAGCTAAAATGTGGTACATAAGATACACTGCCTTAATAGATAATTTGTCAAAACATTGAGATGAATTTTACTACTTGTTGGAGGCCTGTCTTCCAGCCCAGAAAAAAATAAAGGAAAACACAGATTTAATCACCATTCAGTAAGAATGCTCATGTCTCTCAGATTAGATTAGAGGAGGGGGCATTTCCAGTAACTGCTGGGAATGTCTATTTATACAATGGTAGGTTCATTTACTAGTGAAACAATGGCAAAACAAAGCAGTACATTTGTGAAACAAATAAAGCATCTGTAAACAAGCTGTATTTTTAATCTATGCAATTACTGTATTCATCCTGAGTTTTTCAAATAAAACTGAAATTAAATGACTTAATCACTAAAATCTGCAAGACATTCTGAAAAAAACTAAGAATCTTATGGCACCGTAAAAATTAACATACATTATTATCACATAAGCTTCTCTGGATCACTAATCATTACAAAAATGGTACTTGCTGCCTCAGCCTCTATTTCCACAATTATTTTTTGAAATGGAGTTTATATAAAGGTACTTATAAACACAAAATGTATGGTTTGATCACAAAAAAACTAAAGCATGCAGCGGATTGTTTTGCCTACCCAAATGGATTCAAGCACACATAGAGAGCATTTTCCAACAGGACACTAAATCAGAAGATTAGTCAAAGGTCTCTCTGGTTACATTTTAGCCGCCCCTGGAGGATTTCACAAATGGCGACATCCTAATGTTCACCTCTAAATGGCTGCCATAGGGAAGAGCATACTAGCCATTTTGAAAGCAATTTAATTACATGCTATATATTTTGGGTTGTTGTTTTTTTTTTTGGTGCCTTTGAGTCAGGGTTGACTTCTGGTGACTGCCTGGACAAGTCCCTGCAATTTCCTTGACAAGGTTTTCGGAAGTGACTTGCCTTTGCCTGCTTCCTAGGGCTGAAAGAGAGTGAACGGCCCAAGGTCACCCAGCTAACCTTGTGGCTAAGGCAGGACTAGAACTCATGGCCTCCAGGTTTCTGGCCTAGTGCCTTAACCCATTCTTCCTCCAAGGCACCTACTAGCAATGTTGAATATTGTGAAGCTGTCTGCCCCCACCCGATCCATAGGCTACTGGAATTTTGTTTTAACTATGTATGTAAAGTTTTAACCCTTGTTAGCAACCTAGAGTTATATATGAGTCACTGGCTGTAAAGGCTGATGTAAAAATCAAATTTACAAAGACTCTGCACTTTAACTGGCCTAATGCCAGTAAGGATACAGCAATCTAATGAATTTAGGATTAGTTTCCCCAAAATTAAAACTCCTGTTTTGCATTTTTTTACATTTCTATAATGTAGATTAAAAATGCTGCTCAATGGTTAATAATGAAAAGAAAGCAAAATGAATGGAATGAGGGTATGAGAAACATTATGCCAGTGACAAATAAATATTACAGAAAGAAATCATTCAGTCTTGAAGGATATTCTGGACAGAGCAATCCAGAAATAAGCCCAGCACACTTTGGCGTACCCATGACCATGGTGGCTATCACCTGGCAAGGTGGAAGAGAGAACAATGAAATGCTTTTACCTTCCGTCAGCTTTCAGGGCTTTCTTTACTGCAAGAAATGTTTGCTCTCATTGCAAATCATAGGAAGTTATTTTTTTTTCAAACCAGTCAGGTGTTAATCTATATCTTCCCCACTGTCCCTCCCCATCCCACATCTGGTGAGGGATTGCAGGAGTTCAGTTCTCAAGCTCTCCTGACTAGCTCCCAGCGTACCCTTTTTAAAAAGGTCTTTCTGAATTCTGGATTTCCAACCTCTGAACGGCCCTAGTGATGTAGGTTGGCAGAAAGATGGGAGTGGGCATATGATGACAGGGTTTCCTTTACTGGAGTAGGGCTGTCCCATAGGTCTACAGCCTAATGAACATTTTCAAAAACACAGTGACTATTGTGGAGGAGAGCTGTGTAACTTTTACAGTAATACTATGTTTGATAAGTGTCTCTCATTAGCATTCCATACCTTGCATAATGAAAATGCAGAGAAATTGTGATACATGATTTCAACAAAACATAATTTGTTCTTCCCTGCAACAGCAATTTATCCTCAGGAGAGCATCTCTCTCTCTCCCTCTCCCTCTCCCTCTCTATACATACATACATACATACATACATACATACATACATTGTTCACTCTGACACTTATTTTTAAATTGTTCTTTAAAAATAGAATCTGGCCATGCTGTGATGTGGAAATGGAGGGTTAAGGATTCCTTGAAACATAATTTCAGAACAATTTATGAATTATTTCTTTTGATGACTGCAGTATCTATTTGTTTTCTATCCTATGTTCATACTATATGTGTGCAAAATGTAGAAGTGTTCCAGTCTTTATCCAGATCTCACTGACCTCCCATTCTGAGGGTGATCGTCCAATTTTTCAAAAGTAAATTATCCCAAACTGCCAGACCATTCCCAGAATAGCACAGTCCAGAAAAAGAATGAGACACTCTATATTTGCCTAGAATATTTTGCTTCTGGAGATGGAACGTTTTGCTCATTCCTGATACAAACACATTACTCAATGGCTGTTCTTGTCTTAGTGACTATCTCTTTATTAAGAGAGCTACATCTTCAGCAGTTATGTGGATGCACCTTTTCAGTCTCCTGGAAGCCAGTGACAAATCAAATCAAATTTGCTCAAATCTTCTTTCTGACACAAAGGTAAAGATACCTTTACCTTTAGGCCAAGGGGATAAACATTTAAGACATGTATCCCTGTAAGAAAAATCAAATGAAGAGATACAGGATTGGGCCAGTCAGGTTCAGAAGCAAGGCATATGTCCAGAATCTAGGAGGAGTAGAAGACCACCATCTGAACACGAGCAAGCAGGGTGAAAAGCTAATACAATATTGAACTGCTTTAACAGAAAGACAGATTTCAGTGCATGGGAAATAATGGTTCAACTATGCCCTGTGTCAGTTAAACCATACTTGGAATATTACATCCAGCTCTGGGCATCACACCTTAAAAGGGATCTGGAGAAGCTTAAGCCAGGTCAGAGGAGAGCTACTAGGATAATAAGGAGTCTGGAAATCAAGCTGTCTGAGGAGCAGTTAAAGGGGTTGTGTGAGTTTAGCTTGCAAAAGACTAAGGGGAGTTATGAAGGCAATGTACAAATACCTGAAAAGCTGCATCGAGAGAAGAATAAAGGCTAAAACAGGTAGAAATTAAAAGAAAGGAAATTCAGGCTGAGTATTAGGAGGAATAACCTGATGATAA